CTAATGAACATTTAATTTCACAAACCTCGCAGAGTTCTCTGCGTGACGGTCGATCCGTGTGAATTGAATGCTGACAGGAGGAGAGTTCAGCTTCACTGGAGACGCGCGATCGACAAACTTTAAACTAAGTTAGTGATTTCAAATTATGCTGCGCTTTATGCATTTGCCCACTGTCATATTCATGTAATTGTCATTGCGTGCTGTATGTAAAATGAGTGTAACCTTGGCTTTATTTGAAAAAAAAAAAAAAAAGATTCCCAATGCACACAAACTTCCCAGAATACTGAGTGCCCTGTTGGTTACAGTGTTTACTTCCTTTTTAATTAGATTTTTATTAAATATTTATTTATTTGTGAAAAATGCTTAGTCTTCTAAAGTATGTTTATTTTACACAATTATTTTTAATCCATTTTCAAGTGATTTCAAATTTCTTAAATATAAATTAAAATAAATAAAATTATATCGGCTTTATATCGGCCTCCCTGCTTTCCAAGATATCGGCATCGGCTGTCAAAAAACCCATATCGGTCGACCACTAATATATATGCACAGTACACACACATATTATGTAAACATTTATTTTGGATTCAATTGATCATGATTAATCGATTTGACAGCACTACTAAATATTATTCTTTGTCATTTAATATTAATATACAATAATATAAAATTTTTTTGCTTGACAAATGATAAAAGAGGCACAAAAATCCCATAAACTTGCACTAAATGAAGGATCCAAGTCATATCTACAGATCAGATTATCATAGAGACTTGAGAATGGGCTCTACAACACAATATAGAATGTATAGGAATGCTCCGGCAACCACTCAGAACACTCTATTGTTGTGGTTGCAATTTATTTTACAATCAAGCACTACTCATGTTTTCCTCAGAAAATGTTAAAATTTTGTCATGGGTTAGTAAAAAAAAAATCATGGAGCTTTTAGGAGTCTCTTATAGGTGTTGATCCATTTCGGTCTTATTTCCTTTTTCTCTTTATGTTAGGAGCTCAACAACCCTATTTCCATTTACTTATGTTGCCTCAAAATATAGGTTGGATTTATGCATGTCTCAAGCTCTCAGCATGAAAATTTTCAGCTCTGGATGATGGTACTAAAGACACTTGGATTTGCATTTTAGTGTTTAAGGGTTGCTTTAAAAGGAATGAGAATTTTGTTGCAGTGTGTTTATGATCCTCCTCCTTGTGCTGTCATCTGGAGTCAGTTTCAGTTAGCTTATAGCAGAGGGAAATCTGTCACAATAAAATATGAGCCTGTTTGGTCTTCTCTGCACATCACTTAGGAAATGCCCCATATGGCAGTTTACCAGTGCTGTGGAGTCATTAACCAGAAGCAGTGGTGCTTCTAACTCTAACTGTATTTTTATAGTAATAATTTTAGAGGTTTGGTTTGTACAGCTCTTTTGCAGAATTTTATATTTCAAAATGTTTAATTTCATATTGTATTTCTGCTGAATGCTGTAGTTACTGAATGCTTTAAGCAATGCTGTAAAATGTATGAATATCATTGCTTTGCATAAAATATCAAATCAAATGACATCTGCAAACAAATTATGGTAAAATGCAGTCTCAGACACTTTTGTTTACTTACCAGTCTTGAAAATGGTTGCACTTCTTAACATTTTTGTAGAAACAGCATTTATATGAAATTCGAAATCTTTTGTAACATTAATAATATAACGTAATATAATATAATAAACAGTAATTTTAATATTTAATAAAATTACTTTAAAAACTTCTATTTTTAAATTTTGGAAAATGTGCTTGTGCTACAGTATCTTTACAATTAATGCCACTTGGTGTGATATTTTGATATATATATATATATATATATATATATATATGTATGTATATGTATATATAATGCAATAACGCTGATACATTTTTAATATGTAGATATTTTTGGGGCCACTGTATATTTTAAAAGTTATTTCCCCCCTTAAATAGCTTTAATGGAGTTCAGTACTTTTTGTTATTAGTTTGTAATGTAGTAATTACTTTTTTAAACGCTTGCTTGACTGTAGTTTAACTGCTTTGAATTATGAGTAGCTTCCCCAGCACTAGTGTTGACATTTCATTTCTGGTCCTCTGTGTGTTTGTGTTAGCACTTCACTTACACCTGTATGAGTGGGTTAATCAGCAGGGTTGCTAGTTCAGAGACTTCTCTCGCAGGGTCTCCGTTAAGCAGCTTTGCTCTTCACAGCTGTCAGAGTCAACAGAGTGTCCCTACATCCAGTGTCACCATGTTCAGCCATGCAAGAGCTCCTCCCAGACACACACTGACCACCCGCCATCTCTTCTGGGACTCCTGTCACAGCTTTTATATGAGAAAGTTTGCTTTAAGGCTGTAGGGTGACATCATAACTTTATGACTTTAAATCTTGTCCTCGGGTTCTAGAATAATTGTCTTCTGTGGAAATGATTTGGCTCGGGAGATTGCAGGTCTTTCTTAAGTAGGATGGAAATTATGAGCTTGTTATTGAAGTCAGCTAATCAAACAACAATCTCTCATAAGGTTATCGGTAGGGTTGGGAACCGAGAACCGGTTCTTAACCGGACCGGTTAAGAACCAGTTCTTATTTAGAACCGGTTCTGTTTTTTTAAAAGAACCGGAACCGAGAGCAATTTCTAAGTTTCGGTTCCGAAAACGGTTCTGGTGCGACACGTGACCAAGCGCTGTGAGCAGCCTTGTGCCGGCGTTTCCCGTGAAGGATGTCACAAACCAAATAACTGAAACGCCGCCCTGCCTCTTTAATTACTGAGCACATTTAATGTTTCCCATGACGCGCACTCCACAGACGCGCCGCGTCGCGTCTTTAACTGCCGAACACATCGTTTTCCACGACTGTATGCGCACTCGCATCTTTCGTAACTGTGCATGTTGTTTTGTCTGATGTACCGGCAGGAGCTGCCACTAAATTACATTATATTTGTCCCATATTGTCATTAATATACATGCTGACTTCAACTTGGACCACTAAATAAATAGACTGCTATTGTTATGCAAGTATGAAGGTTAGATTATTTAGTGTACAGGTCATTTCAAGAGTGATAAACAAAGTGATAGAAAATATTTATTTTCATGCATTTTAAATGTTTAAAAATGTTTAAAAATGTGGAAACCACTCATTGCATCACACCATCTCCTGACTGCATTATTATTTGTAAAATATGGGCTTTATGGAGTGTGTGTATACATGGTTATAAGTATAACAGTTAATATTTCATTAATTTAGGGAAATGATCAAGTGTCTTAGCCCTCAAGAGACTATTTGGCCAACCAGCTTATTCCTGCTTGAAAAGCAAAATGTTATTGATAGTGTAAAAGACAGCAACTTTGAAGCACATGTGATTGATGGACTAGCATTACTCAACATTACTTACTACCTTCCAGCAACACTACATTCAATGAAGGTAAAAGAGTAAAAAAAATAAAATAATAATAGTTAATTTAAATGGAACCGGAATCGTTAGGCAAAACTGGAACCGGAATCAGAACCGGAAAATTTCTAACGATACCCAACCCTAGTTATCGGAGTTCATCATTAACGGTGCTTATCATAGCATCATTATTATTCCTCATACCATTATATTTGGGGTTAGAGGTGTAGGACAAATTCAGATCAGGCTGTGAAAAAAAAATCTCATAGGTTTACATTAAAGCAGGGATGCTACAGCAACTACCCAGAACACCCCAGTATCAAACACTCAGAACACACAGCAACTACCTACGTGTAGTAAGACCCTAGAAACATGGTAACAAACATTCAGCACCTAGCGGTGCCTAGAAACTTGTTGAAAACTTCCCAGAACACCTTAGCAAACACATATTTCCCTGGAAACCCGCAACCAGTTTTGCACAGGCAAGCACTACTGACATTTTCTTAAAACAAATGTAGTTTGTATCCATTAAAATGGTTGAATATTTCTCTCCTCATGCACAGGCTTGTTTGCACCAGTTCAGCTTCAGTGAAGCTTCACATCTAAAATGTTTTCTCATTATATTGGATTTACGTTGAATTGCTATTTTCAATTGCCTATTTTCAAAACAGCTACATTTGTATTTGTTTGGTCAGTTTAAATTACAAACCCTATAACTCTGTGCACACTCCCACTTTATATTAAATGGCCTTAACTACTATGTACTTACATCATAAATAAGTACCATGTACTTACTGTGTTCATATTTTATTGCAAAACACTTTTGCTGCTATCGAGGTAGGATACGGGTAAGGTTAGGGACAGGTTTGGTGGTATGGGTAGGTTTAAGGGTTGGTTAAGGTGTAAGGGATGGGTCAACAGTGTCAACAGTGGTCGACCGATATTGTTTTTTTGACAGCCGATGCCGATACCTTGGAAAGCAGGGTGGCCGATGGCTGATATAAAGTTTGTCGATCGTGCGTCTCAATAAAGCTGAACTCTCCTCCTGAGAGGAGAATACTCCTCCCGTATTCAATTCGCACGGATCGACCATCATGCAGAGTACACGCGATCGTGAGGATACAAATGCACACTTCATAAGATCTCACAGCTGGATTCGACTAAGTTTGCAAGGTTTTTGAAATTAGATGTTCATTAGTCATTCAAAGATTTGTTTAAATTATATACAGTAAATGCATATTTGCTGTATGCTGACGGCAAACGAGAAAGTATTATAATGTTTGCCTTTCTATTACTAACAATATATAAGAAATCATTATAATACTTTTTTGTATACAGTTTAATTCCTTTGTTTAACAGTTCTATCTGATTATTAGACAGATTTCTGTCCGTGGACAGAACTGTTAACGACGACAGTAGGGATGCACCGATACCACTCTTTTCAGAACGAGTTCGATACCGATACTTTCCTTTTTGTTACTCGCCGATACAGATACCTGTATTTTCACAGCATTTGTCTTTTTTTTTTTTAAATATTGGGTACAGAAACAAAATAATAGTAGTAGTAATAATAATAATAATCTGAATCATGTTAGTTGGCTTCATTTAGCAAACAGATATTACCTTCAGTTATTTCCACACTTAATTATACCTGTTAAAATGTATTGTATAAGCTTTTGTTACTTTCACTGTTCATTTTAATGGCGCATTAGAGCTGTTCCATTGCAGCTGCTCAATACTGTAATCACAAAACGTTTTCCTAAAATAATGCAGGGAACCACTCATTATACATTATACGAGTACACGCATGCTATTTTGGTGATGTAATTTGCACCACGCCGAAGTATTCTTTGGCCTTAAAGCAAGCTAAACATACGAAGCGCGCACACGTTTGTGTTGGTGCAGAATGAGAGAGACACTTACAGCCTAGCGCATTTCACCCAGTCTGCTAGTTTCACTTCTGCTTTAAATAAAGTTGTGTATGCTTGACGTTTAAAATAAATGCTGTTTATAGTGAATGCCCCTATAATTTTTGTTTGTTTTATATTTACGATTTAGTTTTAATCCAAATGCATGCGCTAATAGAGCGAACAGCAATCAAGATCATGCAACAGAAGTGCGCGCTCTCGGACTCTCTCTCTCTCTCTCTCTCTCTCTCTCTCCTTACCGTCAAATCACTTTAGTAACTTGTGCATTGTTTTACTTACTTGCTTTTGACATATCTGACCGAACTACAAACTTTCCAGTGATGTTTGTGAGATATTCACTCAACAAGCTCGTGCATCTGTGCCGCCGCGCTCTCAATCCACTCAGCACGCTCTGCTTATCAGCTCGGGCACATCCGCTATACAATAAAACATTAATATCATTTATCTTTAAATTATTGAAAATCGCTGTTTGGTATCAGGGCATTTTTACGAGTACGAGTACAGGAGCGCAGTATTGGACCCGATACCGATACCAGTATCGGTATCGGTGCATCCCTAGACGACAGCGAACAAGAGGGATAATGTGAGCAATGTGTGTTCAGGCGCTGCCGTTCTCAGCGCCATCAAAATAAAAGTCCCGCCACGAACGCATCGGCCAAACAGAAAAACTTATCGGCCGATGCCGATATTTGAAAAATGACATGCATGTAATTTCTGTAATTACATTTAGTGGTCGACCGATATATCACCATGGCCGATATATCGGTCGACCATTAAATGTAATTACAGAAATTAATCACAGGTGTAATTACATGCATGTATTTTTTTTTATATAAGTGTAAAAACATGTATGTATACAATAAGTGCATTGTACCGAATGATTAATTTAAATGTATGTAGTCGTTAATATAAAGTGGGGCCGACTAATTAGACTCATTGGCATTGGTTATCACCAGATGTAGATTGCAGTCACAGTTTGCTTTATTTCTTCAGCCACCCAGGACCACCTGAAGCCATTTCAAAAACCCACATGCTAAAAGCTGTGATCACATAGTACCAAAGTACTGAAATTGTTGTATTTAGTGGTGCCAATACGATAAGAATCAGGGTGGTGATGGTTTTGCCATCGCCCCACAGACTCCTCACAGACCTTGTGCATCTTTAGTAAAGAAGGCAATCCTTGCGCTGATTGGCTTAGTGATCCCTGCACCGTGGGAGTCAAGATCGCAAAAACCCTCACAGAGCTCACGTGCGGCCTCTCCCTCGCTCACCATTAACCTTTGTTAGCCGCCATTAACCACCCTCACTGCTGCGGCTCAGTGTTGCCAAGGCTGCATCTAATTTGCTCAGTGAGGTGTTAATTTGGCATGATCCGTGCTATTTCCATGTCATTACAAGTTTCAGAGAGAATGTATCTGCACATAAGCAGAAGTCCAATTAATCATCTGATTGTGCTGTGGCCTAGGGAACGTTTAGCAGCTGGTAACAGGAGCTTAGGAGATAGATCAGAACCTTTGCTTATAGAGAAATATGAAGCTAAGAAAAACTCAAAATTGCTCCTCTGTGCAATTTCAGGGGTGCGCAGGTGCAGGCCAACAAGGTGGCAGCTGGGGTGAAGAAGTACGACCTGAGCAAGTGGAAGTACGCTGAGCTGCGAGACGCCATCAACACCTCCTGTGGTAAGAGCAATCAGTCCCCTTGATCTGATCGCAGAACTTCCTGCTCACCTGAAGCTGTTCATGTCAAAAAGCATGTCATTTTGGAGATTGGAGATTGGAGACTGACGTGATATTTTTGGAGATGGAGGGACTAGCATGTAATATTTTGAAGATGGAAAACTAGCATGATGGAGATTGCGACAGCGAGCTTTTTTGGAGTGACTGAATTTGTAGCTTGCTCTCAATCCAATATTTATTTTGAAAGTTAATGCATTATATATGCTGTCTTTTTATTTGCAGATTTGTTAGTTTTTTATGGTAGTTGAACCATTAATCACAAAGACTTCAATCCATTTTATGCTTCGCTGAATTTTTGTTCTGTGATGTTGGTTTAATTATCAGTTTTCTCTTGACTCAAAGGAATAGTTCACTCTAAAATGAAAATTATGTCATAATTAACTCACCCTTTTGTCAGTTCAAACCCATATGGCTTTCTTTCTTCTGTGAAACATAAAATCAGATGCTTGGCAGAATGTTCTAGCTGCTCCTTTCCACAAAACAATCCAGTGATTTTGGGCCATAAGGACCACCATAAAAGTTCTTGTGGACTATATTTTAAGTTTTCAGAAATGATTTTGTTGTTATTCATTGAAAACCCCTCTGCCGTAGCTCTCCTTTGTGGTCATGAATATTCAAAGCTTGAATATGCACATTCATTAAAGAGATTTGAGGATTTGCCTGAGGGCATTTTTCAAAGCTATCATATACCTTTAGAAGACTTGAATATTTTTATTATCTCTTTTATTAAGGTGCTTTTTTTAGAGCTTGACATTCCCTATAAATATTCACTTTTATTGTATGGAAAACAGCAGCTATGAAAGGGGTGACCAGTCCTGCTCTTGGAGGGCCAACATCCTGCAGTTTTGCTCCAACACACTTACTTGGAAGTTTTTAGTGAGCCTGAAGACATTGGTTACTTTGATTCTGGTGTGTTTAATTAGGTTGGAGCTATGGCCCTCCAGAAACATGTTTGGACACCCCTGAGCTATAAAACATTCTGATAAACATCCTACAGTATTTTGAATTCCATTCAAGAAAGAAAGTCATACAGATTTTAAATTTAGGTTTAGCGTATTGGTAACCATTTAAGCTAGGAAACTTATGGTTTTCATTTAATTGAACGTAGACACACTTTCTAAAAGTTGTTCCATGTTCATGTTCAGCATGAGCCTGAACACTTAAAATGAAAGGTCATGTGAAACTGCTCGTTATACATGACAATCTCTCACCCTTGTAGATATAGAGATGCTGGCAGCATGCCGAGAAGAATTTCATCGTCGCCTGAAGGTGTACCATGGCTGGAAATCAAAGAACAAGAAGCGAAATACAGACACAGAGATGAGGGCTCCCAAATCAGTCACTGACTATGGTAAGATATGACCTCTTTCCCCAAGAGAATAGCCTGCATGGTGGCGGAACAACAGAATACAAATTGTCACAAGTCGTGTGTAGCTGATGATTTCCTTTGTAATTGCAAAAGGTGATTCAGCATAATATTTATTCTGGAAAGATACTCATCTGAAGTTCTTTTTTATGCGAATGTGTGTCACAGCAGTTTCTCAAGGTTGAATGTGGCGTTTTTGTTTGTTGTTCTTTTCAAGAACCTTGCGGCACATTTTGTGATTAGCGTTAGCATTGTCATGCACATAATGCAGACAGCTAAAAGTACATCTAAAGGCACTCGCTGCTGTTTCAAGGAAATCAAACCTCTCGCTGATTTTCCCACTTGAAAGGCACGTCACAGTGTTTGGTTGCTGGAAGACTTTAGTGCTTTTTAAGTGTTTGCACATGCAGAACAAACAGGAGATTTCGAGTTCCGTGAACTGCAGGTCTTCTTCAAACTCTTCGGCTCTCTTGTTGTGAAATCCTCAGATGTGTCTTACCTTCAAACAGTGGAGTGTTTGTATCAGGTGCATGGGGCTTACGCTGCTTCTCTCTGAGAGATGAAATCAGGCTTCTGGCTTTGCAAAGTCAATATTGAAGTGCTGAGAACTTCTCTGAGAACTTTCTTGACATTAATGCCGCCCTCTGAAGCTGTTTGATCTTTAGGGCTGACAGATTTAAAATGCGTACTTCCTTTTATGATGTCATTTATGTCTGGTTAATATATTTTTGTGAGCATAAAGTATAAATAGATGGTTTGATGTAAAGAATTTGGTTTGAACAAATGCTACTTTGGTGTTTTAACTCGTACCATTTGGGGAACAGACATGAATGATACCTCAAATCATAAAGTGTGTTGAGGAGAGATCTGAAGAGACCTATCTTAAAGTGCCCCTATTTGAAAAGTTCATAATTTGGTTTTGGGAGTTCCCTACAACATGTTTACATGCATGCAAGGTCAAAAACACTTTTGTTTTTTTATAATATGCATTTAAATTTACCTTATTTCTCAATGACTCTCAAACTCTTAGTTTGAAGATTCATCTATCCAAGCCCCTCCTTTGCGTGAGGCTACTCCGCTCTGATTGGTCTGATGACCCAGTCTGGTGTGATTGGTCTACTGCGTACAGCGCATGGCGGAAACGGAATGTAGTAAAGACACAAACAATAATGGTATATGCGTTAGCCAAACAGACATGAAGTACTAATAAATCGCTGCACTTTGTAAACCAACGTGTTGCTCCATCCTTTATCATGACTCCAAGTAATAAGAACGACAGACATTCTTTACACAACACCCAAAACTACATATTTTGCACACTCCAAAGAAAATTAAAGAAACAATTAGTAATCATACTTACAGTTTGTGATTTGGAGTAAACTGGTCTAAACAAACTGGGCACTGACCCACCTTTCAAGGATAACCGGTTTACGAATATCGCATTGAACTCACGGACGGGAACACAGCAAAAGTTTGGGATTATACTGCTGTGGCATCGTAGTAAAGATGAATTTAACCACTGATTCCTCACAGCCTCATTCTTTGAAAGTGAAAATAAACCGGGGTTCAAGTTTTCGCAGAATGTCCACGTAGAACGTAGGCGGGCATTATGCAAATGTGGTAACTTGTGAACTTCATGAAAATGGGATTCGAGTTTTAAATGACTCATTTAAGCGATTGAGAGTCGACTCTTTCTTTTGAGAGACAATAACTTTATTTATGATGCACTTTCAGCTGTACAACTTTGCAGGCTCTTTACATTCACATACAGCTACGTTGCACTCAAAAATCCATAATAGGGACACATTAAATGAGAAGGACCTGAAATGGAATGACACAAGCTATAGAGACTGCAATATGATATGCAACCTGGTCTTCAATGGAGAACTTGAAAGGAAAATCATCTACTTGGAGATATGGTGCTGATTTGGCTGGTTCATTTGGATGATGTACTAAAGCCATGTAACCGGTTATGTTGCACTGAACAACCTTTAATTTTTCGGAACCGTTCAGTTTTTCTGATGTCTGTCCAGTTCATGACAGACTCCCAGACTGGTCCAACCAAGCTCTGGCACAAGAACCAAAACTTTGTGGTGGGCAAGGGGTAATAAAAACTTGGGGGTGAGCATTTGACCTAGAGGTCTGCACTCTGTATTACCGAGTGCGGCACGGTGTAAATTTTGAATTGCTAAGTGTGGGAGGGAAATGAGTGTGTGTGTGGGGGGGGGATAATAGGAAAAAATAAACAATGGCACCGTAGCAGAACAGAATCTTACAGGAGAGGGACTGAAAATTCAAGTAGACCTCTACCTGCTGGTTTTTGTGAGTGGGACAAAATGTGAAAGTCACGGGTGGGACAAATTATTTCCCGGAGTGGGTGGAAAAGAGACAGAATTCTATAGAAATCCATCCCGTGCAGAACTCTAGGTGGACCTCCCAGAACAACCACAAAAAAATGTACTCAGAACACTTTAGGGCCCTAGAGGCATGGCAGCAATTTCGAATGGCCACTATCAGATTTTTTTTTTTGAAAGTTTTGTTAATGTTGTAATTTTCTCGTATATTTCTTCAGCCCAACAGAACCCCGCTCCACCCGTCCCAGCCCGGCAGCAAGAGATTGCAATGAACCGACAGCAACGTTACTTCCGCATTCCCTTCATACGCCCTGCGGACCAGTACAAAGACCCTCAGAACAAGAAAAAAGGCTGGTGGTACGCTCACTTTGATGGGCCCTGGATTGCCAGGCAGATGGAGCTTCATCCAGACAAGCAGCCAATCCTCTTGGTAGCAGGTACCAAAGGCCTTCTTCAGCACATCCTAATGTTTTCATAAGATAAAACAATAATTTTCCCCTACTGTGAACAATGAATTCTTCAGAATAGAAGCAGGATTTGAAAGATAAAGCAGTTGAAACCCTTACTGGAAAATACGAGTCTTATCTGCGGATGTGAGGTGTGTACACGGGCATAGCGTGATGCCTTTTATCCTTTGCTGTACCCAGGTAAGGACGACATGGAGATGTGTGAGCTGAGTCTGGAGGAGACCGGGCTCACGCGAAAACGTGGAGCGGAGATCCTCCCGCGCCAGTTTGAGGAGATCTGGGAGCGCTGTGGCGGAATCCAATACCTGAGGAACGCCATCGAAAGCAAGCAGGCCCGACCCACCTACGCGACCGCCATGCTCCAGAACCTTCTCAAGTGAACATCCACCGTTCCTCCTCTTGGTTTACATTATCTATGCACATGTAGATGTAGACGGTAAAGTGGGGTAGCTAAAACAAAGGGCTGTACAACTCTAATGGAAGCAATTTCTGTCTAATTAACTTTTTGTTTGTAGTTTGTTCTTCGTTTTGCTGTGAACTTAGAAATCAGTCTTCATACAAATCTGAGCCTTGGTTGAACCTGTTGCTCAGAGATGCCTTAAGATTTTCAGACCTAATTCATATTTCAAAGGGATGTTATTGAAATATCACACTCATGAATCTAAAATACACTAGGTGTAATCTTTCTAAAATGCCATATTTCAGTAAAACTCTTTCAGTCACATTACTGGTAAAGGTGAGGTGTGTTATTTGTTGCGTGTTAAAACGCGATAGCGTAAGTCATTCTCCTAAAAATGGTGTTTTAAAATTCTCAATGTTCATTTAAGCATCCTGACCAGCCCGAGCAACATTGGCTGGACTATCTGTTTATTTAACAAAAAAAATTTACTTTTTTTTTTTTTTGCAGTTCCATCAGCTAGTGGTGCAGAAATGACACACTTCAACTTTCAAAATAAAATTCTCTTATAAGACTTAAATGGTTATTATTGTGGAGAAACACTTCATATTTGAATACATTGAATAACTAGTCAAAGTATCCTTAATCTAATCAGATGATGGTAAAGGCTAATGAGGATCATGCACTGGAATACATTAGGTTGTAATATTTTGTCTCACCTTTGTAAATGTGGTGGTTTCCAAGAAATGCACCATCTGAAATTGCCTTTACATATATTTGATAAAGAATTTTATAGATGCACTTAAAAGCAGCTTTAGTTCATAAAAAAGGATAGTCACTGCTGTCGTGTATGGTTTTGCGCAGCAATTTTGTACTTAAATCATGGGGATATGCTAAAGGGCATATTCATTTCTGTTCAGTGAAGTGATAATGGCACCTTTGTTAATGATTTGCTGTGAATTCTGTCGGCGTGTGTGGTAGATTTCTCTCATTTATTTATGTACCAACTCAAGAAAATATTACGTTTAAATGAACTTGTGCTCTGGAGTGTCTCGTTATGCGCTTCTCTGGCCCTTTCTTATCTCATTTGGTTATAATAACTGCCTGAAGAACAGAAGTAATGGAAACAGCAATGACATTCGGCAAACTTGGCACTGCATTTGATCAATTTGCTGTCATTATCCAGACTTTGTTTATTCATATGCTAATGTTTTTCTCCATTAAGCCCTTTCCAAAGATAGTCATCTTAAACTATCAGTTTATGCATAGTATAATTTGTTAATTATTTGTTTCTTGTCTGTCAGTTTATCTTTTAATGTGTCTGGGTTAAATATACTCTGATTTTCTTATTTTTGACTGGCCACTGTTGCTCTGATCACTTTGCTAGACCAAAATAAACACATTCCATATGAAATCTGGGTTATGTTTAGATTTTTGCCTTTGTAGTCATAAAAAGTTTTAGCTTTACTCAGGGACCCTGACTATTATCGTGAACGATTCATCATTGCACATGAAAATTTAAACAGACATGAATATAAGGATTTACTTTATCTGCAGTTGAAAGACACATTCAGAAATACCTTTTCTGTTTAATGTACAAACAAAGAAACCATGACCACATGTCTGTATTTTTGTATTTTTTTGTTCCCCTTAGGAGTTACAGAAATACTTTACATTCATTTTCTTTGTTTGGGACACTGTGGATAGACTAGAAGAGACGACTAGAATCTATTTCCTATTTAAGATACAACCCAATGTATCAATTTGTAAATAAATACCTCATTGTGAGGGAGCAAACAAACCTTTGAGAAGGGTTCAAAGCATCCAACATGTCTCATATACAGTTTACAATTTTTCGCAGGTACAATTAAAAAGTTCAGGGCAGATCTAAATCATAAGTCCTCGTTCCTGGAGGTATTCCTTCAGTTGTCCAAGAGTTTTGCTGATCCATAGGGGTTGTTTTATACACTCGCCAAATGTCTACAAGAAACCAGCAGAGTTGAGTTGCTCGAATAGCACTGAAGAGCTTTGGTGCCACGCGTAGCTTTAAAAAACTGTCTGGACATCATAAAACAGTCACTTCAAAGCTGTCACTATCAGGACTCCTCAAAAAACAGCAAGAGGATCTGCTGGACCTCCGACACATCTGTAGAAAAAAAACAACATGGTAGTTTAAGAAAATTAAATACAATATGCACAAAATCATCTACAGCTGAGTAATGAATAATTACCGTACATCACACCCTCATGTGACTATATAATATAATATAATAACAAGAATAAAAATTAAAATAAATAGTCCATAAGGACTATGGTTTCAGCTAAAAATCTTCTTTACTGTTCTACTGAAGAAAAAACTCACTTGTATCTTGGATAGCCCGAGGGTGAGTAAATTAAGAGATATTTTTCGTTTTTGGATGAACTATCTCTTCAAAGACAAATTAAGCAACTAACCAGCACTGCTAATATGTCCATATTAGGTACATTCTAAATGATTCTCTGCAAACCTAGCAAGCTGTCAACCTAGATAACATTTTGGGCATCACAGAGCTTGGGTAGATTACTTATGAACTGTAATCCGTTACTGATTACAAATTACATGACAAAAATGTTAGTAACGTAAACCATTACATTTCACATTTTAGGTAATATAATCCGACTAGGCTACTTTTTGTTTACTTTTGACCTAACTCGTTTATCACATTGATTTAAATAGTTAAACCTTGTACCAGGCTGATATAAAAAATACAAAGAGAAAGAAAATATATTTCATTCATTGTTATTAACAACAAGAAGTGCATTAAACATTACATTACATCAAGGTTTCCCAAACGGGATTGTAAAAAAACGGCATGGAGTTTGTGAGATTAATTAAAAGCGAATAATTAAATCAGAAAATGTCAATTAAAATAATCCATTTTAAAATAACTTTTTAACATTTACTAAAAATGACATATTTAATTTGTTTACTTCAATGTCACGTGTAAATTATTTTAGAAAGGGACCAGATGAAAGGAATTACAATCAATAAATTATGAATAATTTATTGCTCTTATGTATGAAATAAAAGGCTGGCTATGATAGCATTTGTTTGGTTTAATTTACAGTCTGAAGCATGAACAGGAGTATCAGATTAGGCCTCTTCGATCGGGCTGCCAAGTGTCCAGATATTTTACAGAAAATTAACAAGTAGAACAAATAAAATCACAAATAACCATTTGTATTTGGCGATTTCGTAAGCAAAACTATTAAAAACATATATAAATAACATAATACAATATTATAATAGCTATAAGGCCTAAATAACACTCGGTTGCAAATCGGCTATGTATCTTTAATAATACTCCTTTATGTTCCACGAACCTAAAGTACAAACAAGCTTTTCGTGAAAGTCATTAATGAGTATGCTAGTAATAACTTAGTTAAGTACTAGGCTATGTTGATTCAGTAAACACTCTGACAGATTCAGTTTATTCAGTGGAGGATTCAATTCAAAGTGGAATTTCATTAACCTTTCAAAGAAGGTATTAATAGAACACAACAGTCGTAAATCTAATTACACGCACTGTGGTTGCTCTTGCGTTCATTCCACGGCGACAACTCAGTAGGAAGAAGCATCCTCTTGCCATTATTTTGTGGAACACGTTATAATTTAAAAATGCATTCGATTTAAACTCTGCAGGAAAGCCCCCAGCGTACAGCATGTTCTCCCATAATGCATTGCGGGTTCAGCTTTAAAACCAGTGTTGCCAACTGCTTTCAATTGAAAGTAGCTAAAACTGGTAGCTAAATGTCACTAGATGACATCACAATGGCAAATTCACTGATCTATATAAAGATGAACGTAGATCAGTGGGCAAGATGAGAACTTAGATAAGGTTTGTCCAAGCAGTTGCTATATTTGTCCCTAAACTTTTGAAAAAAGTCTCAAAAGGGGCGGGGTAGTCCTAAATCTAGCTACAAAGTAGCTAAATTGGCAACACTGTTTAAAACAAGCGAGACGCGAGCGCCAAGGATACGTCAAATATGAACATGGAATTGCTTGGTATACAGGTATATCAATATGAAATCTATAATTTAAACACGTATTTGTTACTTTTATGCTGAATATACTATCGATAACTGAGCTCATCAAACATACTGTCAGAATCCTTTGTGAACTTCATTACTGGGCCGGTGTTCTGACAAATAATGCTAATTTATCAGATTATGCTACCAACACTGTATTTATCCTACTGTAAGGGTAGGTTTAGGGTTGGGGTAGGTGTACATGTTAATAAAGCCTCACACCTTATTAATATCATGCTGGAAGCAAAATCTGATAGGTAGCACTTTTCACTATCGAATTATGCTACCATCTGTTTTAATGGGAGGTAGCAAAATCTGACAGGGTAGCACAAATCGTTAGAACACCGGAAACACATTACTCGGGTCACTAGTGAGTCAGCGCACTGATTTTGAAACACAGCCATTGCCTTCATATTTTAATTGTCAAGCTCATACCTTGTTTAATATTCTATTGTTTACCTATTCCACTGGAGGACCAACATAAAAGAGGATTACTTTCAGGAATAATCAATGTATTATATTAAGTCACACTTCAATGAATAAACATCTCCAGTCAACTCTCATCCTTCCTGCCTATAAACAATGCCAAATATTGAAGCCTGCTAGACCAACTAATGCTGCTTCTGATTTTGCATTACATGCCAATATATTTGTATAATTACTAACTATTTCTAAATACATAAAATATTTATCTGCATTTTGAGATTGTGCAAGAAAAGTGTAATTTTCCGTTTTTAAGCAGTGGCGGGAAGGACGCAACATTCCCAAAACATTATTTCCTCTTATATATGATGGTGGACATTTTGATGGGAAAGATTTATCATCTTGACATGATAAATCAGGCCGTCATGATTATTTACAGTCACTGTTAACATCTAATTGGTTGTTTTCACACCAGCTTACCTCGTTATGTGGTATACACTGATGGACGTCAACCATTTCTGACATTAACTTTTCTGATCTTCTGGTGTAGAGTTGTCTGGGGATCTGGGAATGGAATGACACCACCATCAATCCTGAACAGTTTTAAGTGGAGACAAGGTCTTGCCAAGCAAAGAAGCAAGGTACATTTTTGGCACTCTATGATAATCCAGACTGTCAATATTTTGAAGAGCAAAACATCTGTTGCTGGAAAAAAAAGACTGATTATTATTCATAATATCATTAGATTAGACAACTACAGATGCACTAGTCTAAATGAGATGCAAAACCCATGCATGCTGTCAGTTGTTTCTATATCCTCTTAGGAAAATCATTTCTTAATGTTGCATCCTTGAAGGTTTCAGAATAATGGTTGACATAATTTTGTTTGTTTGTTTGAATACATTGTGTCTGTAACTTGTTTATAGAAGACAATGCATTTTTGTTTTGAATCTATTTTATAATGAATATGTTATATTGTGTTAAAAACCGGTGAGGATACTGATGCATGGGTTTAGCTGATGTGTTCTCTTTAGTCTTTAGTTTCTTCTAGACAAAAAAAAAACACTCAAGAAACAGCTGATTCACCAAAAGCAACATATTTTTTGCTGAAGTTAGTATGTACAGTACTGCCCTTTACATTAATATAGTCTATTGTCAAAGTTATTTTGGAGTGCATCGTTTTCCTATTCCTTGAGGTAATCTAGTGCAATGTCTAAAGTATGATTTTGAGGTGATTTGATTTATTCATTATTTTTTTTAGATTGCACATAATATATTCTGCAACACATATTCTCATTGTGTAGCTAATAAGAATCCTAGAATGAATATGCTGTGAAGAATGTGCATCTATATCAATCTATATCACTGTAATCTCTCCACAACCTTTTGCTGCACACTTTGGGTAAATGTCCCTTTAACTGGTTATTAATGAGATTATTACTGAGATATTCAGAACAAAATATGTTGCTTCATACATTTTTAATAAAAAGGAATATACATACTAATGTTCAAAAGTTTGGGTTCAGAAACATTTTGAAAGAAATTAATACTTTTTATTCAACAAGGGTGTGTTGAATTGATCATTGTGACATTTAGAATGTCAAAAAAGATTTCTAATTCAAGTAAATGCTGTTCTTTTGAACATTTATATTCATCATAAAATCCTAATAAGAAATTTTTCATTGTTTTCTCAAAAATAATTTTTTGTTTGGACATAAATTACGGTTTAAAATATGTAGAATTTTTTTTTTAATTGTATTAAAATATTAATATTTCACAATATTACTATTTTTATGCAGCCTTGGTTAGCATTAGAAACTTCTTTCAAAAAAATTTTAAAAATCTTAACAACCCCAAACGTTTGAATGGTATTGTGATGATGGTGATATTTCAGCTGTTCAGCATATTGTAGACTTTCTTCATACTGACTGTTCACAA